TTTCAATGCCGCAAATATATTTGCTGGAACCTCGGAAAAGCGGCCGAGACCCTTTTCAAATCGCGAAGTCCTGTACTGTATGCTGAGCAATGGATCCAATGATCATTCTTGAAGTTCACTCATTAGTATCCTAACACGGCCTGTGGGCTGAAAATTTAACAATTTGACCATAACTCAGAGAAAATTTGATTCTGAGGGCAATTTCATTCGGCGAACATCAATTATTAACCTGAATCCATCATTCTAAATGGTTATCTCAAAACTTATTTTTTAAGTCAAAGTCAGTGTTGAGGCAAGACTGCCGCAGGGTGGCTGTGTTATTGCCGCAGCCACTTTTTTGAACTACCACCGTGGCGACTCTCACGGTTGAATTCTAGGCCAATTTCGCACTCAGAGAAGTGGCGACATATCTCGGGGAGATATTGCCGGAATTTTGGAAATAAGATCCATGAAATTCGGTTACCGCCAAAAAAGACTGCCGCAGAGTGGCTGTGTCAGTGCCGCAGCCACATTTCGAGCGATTGCCGCAGTGAGTCCCACAATTGAATTTGACACCGTGTTGTAGGCCAGAAGGTCAAATACCTTCGCTTGGATTCCGTGAACAAATCCGGACATATATGAATGAATTTAATCGGTCTAGGGACCGTGAAAAAAAATCCGCCTTAGATTGCCGCATACAGGGTACTGCCGCAGACCTGCCGCAGACATGTCACACTGCCGTAGTGTCACGCGCCTGGTTGCCGCAGACTGACGCAGAATGGGCGGCAAAATCGCAGACTGCCGCAGCCATGCGCGAGTTTGCCGCAGCCATTTATGAGTTTGCCGCATGTATTGCCGCAGAGTGCTGCAGCCTCTCACTTTGCATTTGTTTGGTTGCCGCAGGTTGCCGCAGCCAAGTCATCTATTAAGGCCCCAAGGCACTGAGCATTGCGGGGGCCATGTACAAGAGTATGTAACGACCAATGCTGTCAAGAATTTGAAGCTCTAATATCTTTGTGGCCTTCAATATACTCAGTTTTATTTTTTATTTCTGCGGCAATGTAACATAATTGCCGCAGGTTGCCGCAGCCACTGGCTGCGGCACATGCTGCGGCACTTTATCTTTGCCCCTAGAAATGTTACGCTAAATACATGACCAAACATGCTATTGATACGAAAATATTTATTTTAGGGGGCAAGCGCCTGTGGATTTATGCTGCGAATCGTTATGTCTTGGTTTCAGGGAAACAAATAAAAACTGGACACACAATCGCCGTTATGGCGAAAACAGCCCTTTTTGAGGAAAAAATGCTCCTGTCCCAAGTTCCGCAAAGAGCAGTAAATTCAAACCGTCCACTAGATATAACCGTTCAATTAAGATACCAGAACGACCTGTTGGCGCACTCGACAGCGCACCCACAATAATTCGAAGTTGGCTCGAGAAGTTATGTGGGAGGCCCCAACGTTCAGCATGCCCGACGCACTCAATGTTTATCCTCCCTTCCATCTTTTTACTCGCCGAACATCTCCGTGAAGAACGTAGAATATCACCCCTGTCTAACGCGGCCGACACCCGGTCGCGACTCGGGAATATTGGACGACACACCCCGATCATCCCGACGCTATCCCGGATCAAATGCTATTTCTGCATGTGTCAAGGATGTCGACGTTTCGCATGGCTGACTCTTGGCGAACATCCCGGCTGACTGTCCGAATTGCCGGTTGTACAATTTGTGTGTGCCCGACCCGCCGCGTACGCATCCTTACAGTAATTAATTACATCCTGTCCGTCCTTGGTCAATCGGAATTATTCAGACCGATATATTCAGGCTGAGAAACATTCAGGTTGAGTAATTAGAACCTAGCCGTCCGATGTTAAGCATCTGCTGCGTTAATATTACTCACCTACGCGTCCCTAGTCCGACGCCCCGCGACATCCAACTTATTCAGGGCGAGTTTCGTTCAACATGAGATCCGATGTCGCGCTCGAACAAACATGTATGAGTCCTCAGACGTGTATTATTCATCCCAGTGTCCACGTTCCGACTGGTCGGAGTCAAGTCAAAAGACGCGAGATCGGCCACATATTACACATTACAGCTCCGTCCTGGGCTCTTACATTGTCCCGGCGCAGCAACATCGCATCGCATTATTTATGGTTTCCTCTGTCCTAGATACGCGCAATCCGCGGTCCGACGATCGCATTCCGCTGCTGTGCGCCTATCGTATGTTCCGCGTAATTATTCCCATGTTCCGCGGCGTGGGCGACACAGCTATGTTCTGCGCTGCAACAGACAACTAAGTATGTTCTGTGCTGCGGACACAAAACTCAATCCCATACGTACATCACAGCCCGCCGCAGTGGTGTGGAACGTAATCTAATCTTATCGCAAGTCTGGTGACGCAACTGACGTGAATCTAATCTAATCATCCCAAGTGATCAAAACCAAGTGCCAAATCCGCCTGCATAGAACAAGGTTCAAATAATGAGGTAGAAGACCCAGTGGTGTACGGCACATTCCCGCCTTACCTTTATCAAGAGGTTTGCGGTCTTGATGAGTAGGAGGCCCCCGTTCGACTTTGGTTCGACTCGAGCTGGATCATTGACACTTGTCGACATTTTTTACCAGCTGACGAAGAAACTCACCGCATTAATCGTGCTTCAGTTAGAGTACTAGTAGAAGGTGTGCATTTTCCCGGCCTATTTTATGGCACGCCTCGCGGCTGGATAATGTCATAATGACATTTGAGCCTGTTGTCTTTGGCTGGAAAAATGTGAAATATCTTGACACATAAATTCTGGTTTAGATGATGGGGGAGGAGAGCCAGTGGTTCACGGCGCACTCCCATACAGATTGTTGGAGATAGTCGGGAAATTTGAGTGGGAAGTCCCCGTTCAACTCGGGGCTGGGTCATGGTCGCGATCTGGAATTATTTTAATACCCGCCTCCAAAATCCACCACATAAATCCATATTCAAATAATCTGATACAAGAACTAGGAGATAATGAGGCCATGAAAATTTACGTGGGACGGTTCCGTTCGGATCGGGGCTGAGAAATTCAGCAGCGCACGTGGTTTTCTTTTGTTCAACTTACCAAAAAGAAAAACGATGCCGAATAAAGGCGGCAAGCCCAACCAATGCAATATACATAGTTGGCATCATTTTAAACGTGGCTGCCTGGGTCATTCGGGTTGCCTAAACGTGCGGCATAAATGCATATGCATGTTCAAGATTCAAGTATAAGACCCAGTGGTGTACGGTGCATACCTGCACAATTTTCCACAGATCCCAAAAAGAATTGAGTGGAAGGTCCCGTGCCATGTCTGGGATCTGTTCTCCCCCCCACCAAGTTGCGAAACCAAATGCAGCATAGTAAATCCATGTTCCAATCATCTGGTATAAGACCCAGTGGTGCACGGTGCACGCCCACATAAATTGCCGCAAGGTCGCAAACGGAATTGAGTGGGAGGCACTCGTTCGATTCGGGGCTGCGTCATGCGCTCGGGGACTGCAAATACTTTTTCGCACTGGGTGGCCTTTAAAAATCGACAGAATAAATTCGGGCTCGAATATTGCTGTAGGAGACCCAGTAGTGCACGGTGCACACTCAACAAAGATGAACGTCAATGTTTCCAAATTGTCAGTGAGAGGTCCCCGTTCGACTCGGGGCTGGGGCATAATGTGGAACAAGCGCCTCTTTTCGTTCAACTCACAAAAGAAAACACGCCACATACATCGAGCTTCAAAGATTCAAGTATAAGACTCAGTGGTGCACGATAAATCTTCGCCAGGGTCATGGAATTGAGTGGCCGTTCAATTTGGGGCTGGGCCATAATGTGGAACGAGTGCCTCTTTTTGTTCAACTCACAAAAAAAAAAGACATTGCATAAATCCATGCTCAAGGATTCAAGTACAAGACCCAGTGGTGCACGACGCACACCCACCGAAGATAATCGTCTTGTAAAATGTCATCGGGAAGCCCCGTTCTACTCGGGGCTGGGTCATTCTAAATCCATGCTCTAGGAGTCAAGCACAAGACCCAGTGATGCACGGCGCACACCCGCACAAGTTGTCGCCGAAAAAGAAAGGAATTGGCCGGAGGTCCCCGTTCGACTCGGGGCTGGGTCTTGGCTTTGGTTGGTTGGCTGCCAAAAATTCACCACATAAATGGAGCTTCTAATATTCAAGTATAACACTCAGTGGTGTACGGTGCCCACCCCCCGAAGATATAGCGGGCTTGAGAAATGTCAATGAGAGGCCCCCGTTCGACTCGGGGCTGGGTCATTTGGGAAGTCAGCCATTTATTCAAGTTGCCAAAAAACAGCAGCATAAATCTACATGCATAAATTCATGAATGAAGCTTTATGTGACCTACGGTAAGAATCAGTGGTGCACAGCGCACGCCCGCAGAAATTAACAAGGAGCCGAATACAGTTGAGAGGGAAGTCCCCGTTCGACTTGGGGCTGGGTCGACGCAGGCGCAATGTTTTTTCTTGGGTGGATTCATTCACGGTTGAATAATTGGCCTGAGGCCCAATTGTTCACATCAGCGTTTGTTGACCTATGGATGAGTGGGGGGACCCCATTCCACTCGAGCTGGGTCTTGCTGTCGCTGTCATATTTTTCCGCTTCGCCAAAAGACCACTGCACCAAATTCAGGTAGAAACATTGGTGGTAAAGTAGCATGCCCACTGAATTGGGAGCCTCACGGCTCAGCCATATATTTATAATGTTCAAGATTTCCAGTTCGTAATGCGACTGAACCATTCATAGTTCAAATAATACCCAGTGGTGCATAGTGCGCTGAACGCACGTTGTCAATCCGAATCAAATGGGAGAGGAGGCCCAGGAAATTTCTTTTTTTTCGTCCTTTGAGGGGTGGGCAGAAACTCTAATCTGGGTTCAAATAATGTGGGAGGAGACCCAACGGTGCGTTCATCCGCTATATACTTGAATAGATGAATGGGAGGACCCCATGCAATCTAGGCAATTTTGTCTCAATAGCAAAATAAAAATAATGGGGACTGAAGGAATCGAAGCCACGGCTCGTCGCATGCACTAATTCTCGGTATTTTAATTTCCCGATTACACACGGGCTCAACGGGTTGCTTCCATACCCGACGCGTGTTAACCACTACACCAAGTCCCCAGGTGGTTTTTCATGCGATTTTGGTCTTTATACTATTGGTGTTGAACTCGGCTTTGAGTGTCAGTTAATCGATAGAGTCGGATAGACCGTGTCTATTATGGATTGCTACAGATACGCGCGAAAGGGTGTACTCGAGGCTGGTTAATTGACTTCCAGAAGCTTAAGTATTATGAGTTTCTGACCAGGCTGACTTGTCTCGCACAGTTGTATTCGCTCCTTCCCAAGTTGTTAACTAAGAGCTTAAGTGTTGGCTCATGTTTCGTCCTCGAATAATAATTTTTTTTTTCACGTTACCAAAAAGACCCACCGCATGAATGCTCCGATAGAAGGCGGTACGTCTCAACGCCCGTTTATAATACGGGAGCCATATGCATGTAATGTTCGAGTCGGTTTTATTGGTTCAAAATAAATCTGCTGCCAGCATAAATGCTGGTTAAAAAATACGATAGGAGACTCAGTGGTGCACGGTGCACGTCCGCTTAACCTGTCCTGTCAATCAATCGTGAAAGTGTGGCCCTCGTTCTACTTGGGGCTGGTTCATGGTTTGCCGTCGGCGCCCTGTTTTCCGCATCACCCCCAAAAAAACGACCTCGCTCGGCCACAAGGTTGAGGAAGTCATTCGGCCAATAAACATTGCGCGCAGTAACGAGGCTCGGTATTCATATAATTTTGAGAACAATGACTCGTGTGAATTTGACTTCTTCACCGGTCGACAGCGATCCGATGGCCTTTTTCATCTTCTTTAGGGTACAATGAACGACTAAATGGAAACCCCACGAGGCGCATCCTTGTCTTTTTTTTCCACAGCGCAACAAAGATGCATCCGAATTGAGATACAAGGTTCGAATCAATGGGGAAGAGAAGAATGCCATTATTGCTCGTGTCGTAATGCATGCTTGATGCATACGGAGACAAACTCTAAAGTTTGGGACAGTCCATTAACGACGTGAGGACAGCTCGGCGTGAGCGGGACAATATTTTCCCACGTTCCGTGCGGAGACGTGTGTTTGGCCAAATTGTCCCAGCACGTGACCTTGCGACGCGTCAACACAAGTTGAAGAAACGGCTTACAAAGACTTGTCGATGGAGAAATAATTGTTCGAACATATCAACTTGCATAAATCATAACATAATTGACCAGTGCGACATCAAAGAATACGGTACAGTGATACATAGTGTATGCATGATCAACAACCAGCACAGTACCAGTATTTCATCTCGTAACATCTCATGGATGCCGCCGAAGATGAGCGCAGAGCACGCAGCCCGCGGTGCGAGAAAATAAAATGGACTATTATAACGTATCGCTGCAGGGAGGCGTTATAACAGGGAGTAACCGCAGCGCAGCGAGGGTTAAGTTTGAATTCGACGGCCAGCCTGGATTGAGGGCTGTGAGAATCGAGGAAAGATAAAATTATGGTGTCGGGACGTACCGTGCCGGCGGAACAGAGAGACTGGGATGAAAATGCAATTGCGATTTTATGATGGAGGGGCAACCCAGCGACGTTGAATTGCTGGTAGAGGCCCGGCGCGTCGACGGGGAGGAGTGGCGATCTGAATCTTTTCACAACTAAATATTAGGTGAAGTAACTGGAGGCAGTACGCACCTGGCAAGGAGTGGTGGAGGAGAAGCAGCCCGCGGGGTCTTGAACTGCTACGACGACGGTCGGGGCTACAAGAGCAGGGGGAAAGAGCGGTGTAGGAGCGGCGCTCACAGTGACCAACTGCATGCAGAGGACCATGACCGTGGCAAGGGAAAAAGAGAGTGGGCGGAACTGCATGACGGTCGGTGGGTTGAGGAGGCGGGGGGATGTGGGATGTGGGAGGGGCGGAGGAAAATGCAACCAACAGGCGATTCCAGAAGGGAGAAAAAAGCCTGACGATCTATCATTCTAGTTCGGCTTAAATGCACCATTGAAGACAGGAGCGAGACGCATGCCAATCTCGACGTTTAGGGGGCTAGTCGATAGAAAGACAGAAGAAACCCCTAGAAGGAGGAGAGCAAATTATTTAGAATTGAGTGGATGAAAAGAACCGATTCCTTTGCATTGAAACTCCTTGGTTAAACTATTTGAGTAGCTGATTCAGCGATGGGGTAATAATAATATTAGTAAGGACTGACAGACTTGTCAATGTCCACTGTCCAGATATGTCCAGAGATGACGATAACAAATATTTTGACTTGAAACTTATGTAAACAAAGCATGAGACATCGTTTACGCTAAACGGTGCCAATTCAGCTAGCGTCGAGAACATCCAGTATCTGCGAGAAGTTCAACCTAAGTTATGATGTTGAAGTTTGAACCCGGGGCCTGAGAGAAGTTGACGTAAAACAGCCCTTGGTCATGAGTATTAAGAGAGAGTTGTAATGTTCATTTCATCACTGTCTGTGGCGGCGGGATGAGCGGTGTAAAGGGGGTGTAACGTGTTTTGGCGGCTATAGATGATCGTGATGCCATCATTTCATGTTCCTCACTTAAAGGTTCTTCCCCACAAACTTGGGCCTCGCTCGCTCGCGTCTAGTCGTGGCCTCGGCCCAGCTAAAAGCTTCGACGACATTCCTGCGGCGTTATCTCTTCATCCCTCTCGCCTTCCCAACTGCAAATGGAGACCCAGCAGACGCCCTTGCGCCCTTGCACAGCGACATGGAACACTCGCTTCCCACCCAGTCTTTCCCTCGACCTCTCGCTGCTGCATAGTAAACCGATCCCTAAGGCCGTGCCGGCCAAACGCCCTGCTCTGCGCCTTCCCACACTGCTCGCCTCCAACGGGACTACATCGCATGTGCCAGTCCCGAACTTAGGGGCCCCCTCCCCCATCGAGTCCCAGAACACGCCCCCACGAGAGCGAGGGCTGACCACCTCAACTACCGTCGTTACCCCTCCGACTGTGGTAGGGATGCGCCGCACTCCCTCGTTTCCCATCGGCCACCTTCGCGCGGCACCACCTGAGCCTTCATCATGCACCACCCTGTCGTCATCCACTCTCATTTCCACTTCCTCAAGTAGCCCTGCACCTATGCCCGCCGTCCCCGACGCACCCTCACCTTTCCTTGCCAGACACTACCCCACCCGCGATGCGCGCACGCGCTTCCTCGCGAAAACACTTTTGAATCGCATCCACGCTGTCGGCCGACAACGGAATGCATTTTCTACTTCATGTAGAGGGGATGGATACGAGAGCGAGGGTGTCGCGAGGGCGTACATGCCCAGTCGGTTGAGTGTATCTGTCATCGCATGAAGCGAATTATCCGAGGAAGGGAGGCAACAAATAACCTCTCTCTTCTCCTGCTGGCCCGTCGTCGCTGCAAGGTTTCTTTAATTTAGTCTTAGGACAACCACGCTCTCTACAATCCTCTAACACTCCTAATACTAGTAATTTAACTCCTAATCTATTTGTATTTTTGCGGTCGTTTTTACTGCTCTATTCCCCAACTCTTTCGAAGAAGTGAAGGTTAGAATGTGGGGAAACTCAAGCTCTCGGCACACTCCCTTCTCAGAGATGACACCACCCTCCTCTGCCCATAGATGCCAAGCGTCAACGAGACGCCAAGATCTATGTCGCGCCTCGCGTTCCAGTCCCAAAGACAGCGTGAGCTCCATGCGTATATGTTTTAAACCTACGTCCATCAAACGTCCATGGAATAAAATGCGCGCGCTTTTTTCACACCGGTAATACTATTACTAGCAATGGTATAATCATGGATTCATCCACCAATTGAGGCGAAACACCAATGTGGGCGATGAAGATTAACGCGCGGATCCCGATCAATGCTGTGTAGTTGAAACTGCAGATCTGCAGATCTGTAACTCCGGTTCTGACTCGGAGATGGCGCATCAAATGCATCAAGGGCGGCCTGATGCGCAGGAGAGGATAAAATATATTATACTCAGGCAAGTCCGTCAAACTTTTCCGTTGAGCCGGCGAGTTACCTCTGTTTGTGTCCAGGTCCATCCACCAAACAGGAATCCGTCCGACATTTATCCATAATGTGCTATGGGAGAATTGGGGATCGCACTCAAGTGTGTTCGCGTCAAAACACCGAGACGAGTGCGGATGACTCGGACTCGGAGTAGGTATGAAACTGCACCAATTGTTTAGTGCAGAGCAAGCGTGTGTGTGATGAGATAGATCCTTCTCAAGTTTGCGCGCAGCGTATGTACACACTGCTCGCCCGAGGAAGGCGGCGGAGTATGCGAATCACGGAGAAGTAGGTATAAAGGAACTTGAATACATGTTATTGAACTGCACCGTGACATATAGTATTATTCGTCAAAGACGTTCCCCGCTGATCTTCTGCGCGGATCCAGATACCTATTATCTCCGTCCTCGAGTGAGAGCTCGTTCGCGAAGACATGAGGAATTCGTTCGCGCCCAGAGCCGTCCAGCGGAACCTCATCGCAAGGCTATTCGTCTTTGAGTGCTTCTGTAATTAGTGCTCTCTCTCTGAACACAGGAATAAACATATACACTTGCACAGCAAAATGCGGCATCTCAAACATGGAGACCCGGTCCCGAAATTCCTAAAAAGAGTAATTAAGAGTCAGCGTGCGGCTTCGCCTCGTTCCACCAGACGCACACTTTCCGCTCTTTCAACCTGCCAACATGGGCATAGACCTCAACACGAAGAAGTCCTGGCACCCGTCGCGGCGCGCGAATCAGGAGCGGGTATGGATCGTGGAGAAGAAGGCTGTGAGTCAATCTGCTTCCTGTGGTGGATTAATTCACTAACAAATTTATGCGCCGATAGTTCGAGGAAAAGATGAAACTTGATCAGCTGAGCAAGGAGCGGGAGGAAGAGCGACAGATGCAGGAGCTTCGACGACGTCAGGAAGACCAAACTGGGACGAAGCGGACAGAGAGATTGGAATGGATGTACGTGACTCCGGCATCATTGACAAGGACGATTCAGAATTCCAGCGATCTGGAAGAATATCTGCTCGGAAAGAAAAGAGTCGATAAGACCCTCACGACGGGCGCGAATGCCAAGGTATGCAAAA